ATGGGGTTTCACCATGTTGACCAGGATGGTCTTGATCTCTTGACCTCGTGATCCACCCGCCTCGGCCTCCCAAAGTGCTGGGATTACAGGCTTGAGCCACCGCGCCCGGCCACCTGTGCTAATTTTTTCACGTCTCCTCCCACTTGCTCTGTAAAGGCAGCCACTCATATGTAAGTTCTTGCTACAGCCCCTTTTATAGCTGAAGACTTTGGAATATCTCAGGATCTCCTTATCTTGTCGGTTACAGGGCACTCTTTGCAACTGAATCCCATCATTCCCAATGAAAGAATAAACCCTTCTTTCTGCAAAAGTTAACTGCCCAGGAACTTTGGATAAGTTGGAAGGTTTTGTATTTTTTCTCTATCAACTAAACCACCCAGTCACAGTGTGCTACATAATAAAGAAAAATGCATTTTTTCTCACCAGTCTCCACCTTCAGCATGAAACTGTGTTTTATCCCACAACAAAGTGACAGTGCATAAAACCGTTCCAAATGGCAGTCATACCATAAATGACCAAAGAGCATTTTCAACTCTAAAATCCTTACACACACAAAAAAGCAAGAGGCTGCCAAACATACCTATGCCAAAAGATCTGCACCTGCCTTCTTAAATACTGACGTCCAGACCAGCCAGTGGCTGAGTGACATGCTCCCCACTTTCTTCTTCTGTGCCCACCCAATACTTAGAGCTCCTTTGGGGGATCCTGTCTCTGTAATGCAGTCTTTCTCCCTTTTTCTCATGCTCTTCTTCATCAGAAAAACAGTAGTATGGACTCTTGAGTCCTTCTTTATAAGGGTGTAAAAGCATGTACATTGCTTCAGGAGAAATATTTCAACAGAGTGTGATTATTTGCAGGCAATAACACAATACTATCTGTATGTAAGACTGACACAAATCCTAGCCGGATTTAGCTGAAGAATCATGTCTTACATAAGAGTTTCTACTAAGTATATTCTGGAATTATTTATATAACTAAACTATTTAAGAAGTCTGCCTTAGTGGTTCCTCAGCTTCTGCCCATACCTGAATTCACTCACTCATGAGGTTTCCATTTCTTGTAGCATGATCTGTCTCATTTTTAAAACTAGAGATTCCAATTCATAGACCTTATCAACATTTCCGCCCACTGAATGCATTTCTGTTTACCCTTCTCCATCTTAATTCCTTCCATTTCCCCTGATGCCTGTGCACAAGGATTCATCTGTTGTTTAGAGTTAGGCCAGTAGATGTCAGCCCTGGATACCCTGAGGACCTTAAAAACACTTGCTCTAGCCATGGCCTTATCCTAGACAGATGATTTAGAATCTCTAGAAGAGAAGCTTCTGCATCAGAGTGTTTTAAAAGCAACTCAACTGAGGATATTGAGTTGTACTAACAGTACAATGAAGACCTAACCCATCCTCTTCCCTTAGGCTCCTCAAGAATCCCCTCCTCCCTGGGCCCCTAGTGAGCACATTTACTGACATCAACCAACATTGTGACATGCCAGGGAGCTTGTCCAAGGAAATTCAGGCAGGGAGAGAATAGGGCTTTTCATCACAGACCAAAGAAGTGATATAAGATAGGAGAACCAAGTACCTCAAATATCCAAAATTCAGATTAACATTTTCAGCCTACTCTTCATGCATCTTCTCTGAAGCTAACAAAAACACAGAAGAACAGGAATAGGGTTAGGACCAGAACGAGCCTGTGGTTAAGGAAGCAAGGAGGTGCCCAGAGAACAAAATTTAAGGAGGTACTCGCTGTCGGGTGCCAACATTTCACTTGCATGACTTTTAAGAACCTCACTTTACATTATCCTAGTCTTGGGGAGGAGCTGAAAAGAGTCATTTTCTAAAGGAATTCAGGAATAGCTGTAATCATTCAGTTTAAAAGAAGATTTTATAAAATCTTCACACTAATACAGTCTTCTCAGCACACCTTAGCAGTAAGATGTCAGAACGTCTTAAATGAAAATTAAAATCTGCCATTAGTGCTCCCCCATTCCAGCCCCCAAATCCTACTCCAGATATACAGTTTATAGAAGATTATGAAGGAGAAGGTCTAATCAGAAGAGCAGAACGTTTCCATTTGTTAGGATAGGGTCACAATAGTTTTTCACTGAAAGTCCAGTATATGATACCTTCTCTAGTAATATACTAAATATCTCTTAATTTCAATCCTTCATTCTTCCTCTCTGTTTTACAAAAAAATAAATGAATCAATGTTTGTGAAATGCCTAGTCCAGGGCTGGCACAGTTGAGAACTCAATAACCGGTAACAATTTTTTCTCACCAGGAATATAATAGAACTCAGGAAACACTTATCACCCAAGATCACCTCATCAGCAATTCCACATTATTTAAAGATAGAGTCAAGCTTGGCACAGACTACAGACTCCACCTCTCTCCAGTCCAAATCTTTGATGATGGGCGGAAGTTCTCTTGCCACATTAGAGTCAGTCCTGACAAAATCTTGAGGAGCTCCACCACTGTCAAGGTTTTCGGTAAGGGCTTTTGTTCTACGCACTTCCTGACATCCTCCTGTCACCTGCCATGCTCTTCCCTGAGGAGGAAGCACTCTATTATGCTGCAGAGCAGCAACACAAGGGTAACAATGCTGGAGTCTGTTTCCCTGGATACTTGTCATTCTCTTTGGGGATGAGGATGAGGGTAGGATGCTAAAGAATGATGATTCCATTAACAGAATAAAATCATATAGAAAGCAATAATTTTCTTTGTTTGTCAATTTTCTGTTGCTCACAACAGAATACCTGAAACTGAGTAATTTATAAAGAAGAGGAACTTATTACATACGGTTGTGGAGGCTAAGTCCAAGGTCAAGGGGAGGCATCTGGTGAGAGCCTTCTTGCTGCTGGGGACTCTCTGAAGAATTCAAAGGTGGCACAGGGTATTACATGGCAAAAAGGCAGAGTATGCTAATGTGCTAATTCATGTCTCTCTTTCTCTTCTTATAAGGTCATCAATTTCCCTCCCATCATAATTCATGAATCCAATAACCCATTATTCCATGAATGGACTAATCTTATTCATAAGGGCAGAGACCTCATGATTCAATGACCTCTGAAAGGCCCCAACTCTCAATACTGCCAGACTGGGGATTAAGTTTCAATATAAGTTTTGGAGTGGACATTCAAACCAGAGCAGACAGATCAATATCCTGGTGACCACTATCTTATTTACAACTATAATGTTTCTCGGAATACTGGAAATCTCTTTAATTATAACTGCCAAAGTTTAATTGCTTAGTTGTCTAATTGTCTTAGTTGCTTGCTTGAGCAAGGTGGAGCAAGGTCAGTGAGAAGAGGAAAGTGATAAATATAGTCCCAGAGAAACTGCAAAAGTTCTTCCCCTGCCATCCTGCCAAGGCCAGCTGGGGTGAGACCATTCAGGTCCAGCCCTTGCAGCAAAGGAGCCTTCAGGAATGGCCTTCTGAACCTGCATTCTCAGGAGAGTGGAGCTGAGCTGTGAAATCCGCTGTGGCCTCACTCAAAATGCAGAGTATGTGCAGGGTGCAAATTTAAGGAGGAAAGGTTAAAATTCCATTTTCCCCAGAGGTACAAGGAAGTACCACTAATTAATAAACACTGTTAATAAACAGAGTCCCCTGGCTTTGGATATTTTTTCTTTTTTTTGTGACAAAGATCTGTATTTTTTATAAAGCCAATTTTAAAGGAAGGCAAAGAGAAAGGCAGTAAGGTGGACAAGTAATTAATTATTTTTGAAAATAAGATAAAGAGAAAATAAATTCACAAACCTATGGACACAAGCTGCTAGATTGTTTCTCAATTCTCTAAAGGACTAGAATGCAAAAAAAAATTGTTTTTACTTGGAATCGTATTGCCTTATTATTGGCAGTCATACAATTTAGTATTTTGAAGAAAACGCAAAACCCCTCCCCGCTGGTTTTGGCTTCCCCGTAAGTAAAACATTGAGATAGGAATTTGAGTTAATTTATTTGAAAGGCCATCCTAGAGAAGGCCATCGGAAAAGGGAGCAAGAAAGTGAGTCAGGAAAGGTAAGGAAGATAATAAAATGTACATTAGTATGTCAGTTACCACCACAGGTTTAGAGCTCAATTTCACTGGCAGACAGCATAGAACACACATCAGAGTTATTCCACGTGGAGGGCAAGAAAACTGGGTTCTTCATCTGTTATCACTATTAACTCTCTGGGACTCCCAGATTTTACTACCTATGGACTAAGTGTGCTCCCATAATCTCAATAAATCATGATGCAAAGTGTCATAGTTACCCCAGTAAGAGGTCTTCAGTGTGCAGAGATAAATGCCAAGTGGCTGTAGCAGGCACTGACAGCATCTATGACTACAGGTTTCGCATTCTTACCGCTCAATCACAGAAGGCTGTTCTGCTATGCTCAATAATTTACTAGAAGCCACTGTGTTCAACATGATGTACTTAATGTCTAGTTGGTGCTGGGCACTGTTAAGTGCTGGAGATGAAGACATGGACAAAATACTGGCTTTGAGGCATTTAAAATCTAGTAAAACAACAAAATCACTGAAATATTTCCTGATTTTTCCTAGTGCCAAGCCAACAAACAAGAGTCAAATGTTTTTCTGCTCCACTTCAGGGACCTTCATAGTGAGACTTTATTTCTAAGCTACTTTAGTCCATTTTCATGTTGCTGATAAAGACATACCCAAGACTGGGAAGAAAAAGAGGTTTAATTGGACTAACAGTTCCATGTGGCTGGGGAGGCCTCAGAATCATGGCAGGAGGAGAAATGCACATCTTACATGGCAGCAGCAGCAACAGAAAATGAGAAGCAAAAACAGAAATGCCTGATAAACCCATCAGATCTCATGAGACTTATTCACTATCATGAGAATAGCACGGGAAAGACCAGTCCTCATGATTCAATGAGGACCTCTGACAAGGTCCCTTCCACAACATATAGGAATTCTGAGAGATACAATTCAAACTGAGATTTGAGTGGGGACACAGCCAAACCATATCATTTCACCCCTGGCGCCTCCCAAATCTCATGTCCTCACATTTCAAAACTAATCATACCTTCCCAACAGTCCCCCAAAGTCTCAACCCATTTCAGCATTAACCCAAAGTCCAAGTCCAAAGTCCCATCTGAGACAAGGCAAGTTCCTTCTGCCTATGTAAAATCAAAAGTAAACAAAAACAAAGTCAAATTGTTACTTCCTAGATATAATAGGGGTACAAGTATTGGGTAAATACAACCATTCAAAATGGGAGAAATTGTCCAAAACAAAGGCCCCATGCAAGCCCAAAATCCAGCAGGGCAGTCAAATCTGTGCTAGCAGGGGTTCTTCGTGAGGGTTCTGCTGCTGCAGCAGACTTTTGCCTGGGTATTCAGACATTTCCATACATCTTCTGAAATCTAGGCAGAGGTTCCCAAACCTCAATTTTTGACTTCTGTACACCCATAGGCTCAAGACCACATGGAAGCTGCCAAGGCTTGGGGTTTCCACCCTCTGAAGCAACAGCCCAAGCTGTACTTTGGCCCCTTTCAGCCTTGGCTGGAGCACCTGAGACACAGGGCACCAAGTCTATAGGCTGTACATAGCATGGGGACCCTGGGCCTGGCCCACGAAACCACTTTTTCCTCCTGGCCCTCTGGCCTGTGATGGGCAGGGCTGCTGTGAAAGTCTCTGACATGGCCAGGAGACATTTTCCCCGTGGTCTCAGGAATTAACATTAGGCTCCTTGCTACTTACGCAATTTTCTGCTGCCAGCTTGAATTTCTCCTCAGAGAGTCAGTTTTTCTTTTCTATCACATAGGCTGCAAAATTTCCAAACTTTTATGCTCTTCTTTCCTTATAAAACTGAATGCCTTTAACAGCACCCCAGATACCTCTTGAATGCTTTGCTGCTTAGAAATGTCTTCTGCCAGATACCCTAAATCATCTCTCTTAAGTTCAAAGTTTTACAAATCTCTAGGGCAGGGGCAAAATGCTGCCCAGTCTCTTTGCTAAAATATAACAAGAGTCATCTTTGCTCCAGTTCCCAACAAGTTCCTCATCTCCATCTGAGACCACCTCAGTCCAGACCTTATTGTTCATATCACTATCAGCATTTTTGTCAAAGCCATTCAACGAATCTCTAGAAGGTTCCAAACTTTCCAGCATTTTCGTCTCCTGAGCCCTCCAAATTGTTCACACCTCTGCCTGTTACCCAGTTGCAAAGCTGCTTTCACATTTTCGGGTATCTTTTCAGCAGTGCCCCACTGTACTGGTACCAGCTTACTGTATTAGTCTGTTTTCATGCTGTTAATAAAGACATAACCCAAGACTGGGGAGAAAAAGAGGTTTAATTGGACTTAGTTTCACACAGCTGGGGAGGCCTCAGAATCGTGGTGGGAAGTGAAAGGCACTTCTTACATGGCAGTGGCAAGAGAAAAATGAGGAGAAGCAAAAGCAGAAACCCCTGATAAACCCAACAGATCTCATGAAACTTATTCACTATCACAAGAATAGTATGGAAAAAATGAGCCCCAATGATTCAATTACCTTTCCCAGGTCCCTCCCACAACACGTGGGAATTCTGGGAGATATAATTCAAGTTGAGATTTGGGTGGGGACACAGCCAAACAATATCATAAGCCTCTGGATATGTAGAATGTTCCTCTTTTCTCTCCCTCCCAACAACCCATCCTCCGCTTGCCCCACCAGTCTTCCACATTCCCAGTTCTACTTGACTCATCACTGATAGCCATATCACATCTTCCAAAAGCCTCCTCCTATCTTCCAAGGTTAGGTTAGAACATTTATTTAAAAGCTTTCTTCAAATCCTACATGTCCTCAATCATTATACTTACCTCAGTGTATTATAACTTTTAGTTTGTTTATCTGTATTCCAATACAGATAAACAAATCTGTATTTCCTCAAGAAACTGTAAATTTCTTAAGGACAGTGAATACTATTTGTTCACCGTTGTTTCCTCGGCATCTAGCATACTGCCAGACATACAGTGGGTGTTTAATAAATATTAATATTTGATGAATGAAGATTCTTTCTTATAGACGCACGCACACACACAAACACACACACATGTAGCCAGGTAGGATGGCGTTCAGTGTCACTAACTATGTTTTATTTGCCTTTAAGCTAAACCAGAAATCCCTGTGATTGTGGAAAATAACTCCACAGATGTCTTGGTAGAGGTGAGTCACATTAAAGCCTTTGAAAATCTATAGCATTAAGTGCAAGGTGTGTCAGGTTGCATAGTTGCCAGGAATGTTCTCTCAAAGGACTTTACTCCTTGGCCCTTGACCAATTAACTGCTAATACGAATGAAGGGAAGCTGAGTTGTTTCTAGAAAGTGAATGGGTATTTTTACTTTTTGACTAAGGGCTCTCCGAATGTTTGATCTTCACTTTTAGTCCTTAAATTTCTCAGAAAAAAAAAAAATGATTATAATTGTTTAAACTGCTCTTTAATAAAAATTGAAGTAGATAGTGAGGACAAAGTAGGGCAGAAAGCTGTGTGAATCCTGGTGTAAGAATGAGGTTTTTGCTCAGCTGATGTTTAATTTGTTCTAATCCATTTCCTTTACCCACTTTTCCATTGTTTTTATTTCAAAATGCCAGGGGGAAATGTGCCCTCCTGTACTCCTGCAGAACCCTGGATATTTATTTGGTGGTAAAGAGGAAGGGCAGGAGAAAAAAGAAAGTTGAACAGGGACCTCTGACTTAATTTCTTCTGGGTGGTAGTTACCAGCCTCTAGTCACTAGGATCTGGACTCAATTTCTCACTCTTCCTCTTGTGGGCTGTGATCTTGGGCAAATTACTTCATGCCTTTGCAGTCAGTTTCTCCATCTATATGAAGTGAATAATAAGAGTATCTTCACATTGTTGGTGTTTTTAAAAAATCAAGTAACATATGAAAAAATCGAAGCACAATATGTGGCATATATTGTTGAATAAACATTATTGTTCTTGTTTTTCTTGTTATTACTATTATCTGTGTTAATCAACTTTCTTGTGGTTTTATGACTTCAGCCAAGCTTTTCAAAACCCTACATAAAAAATATTCTCATTAATTCTCTAACATTTTCCATTACATGTGGTGAGAGAAAATTATATTCTAGTTTCTTCTCGCATCAATAACATTAAATAACTTACAATCTCTGGTCTCACCAAATATCAGTCATTTAATTTGATAGTTGCATACAAATCATAGCTCGATGAATCATAGATTCATTGAGATGCTTTTGTATGACCATATATATATATATATATATATATATATATATATAAAATCATGTATATACACATATGTGTGTATATATATATATCCTCCAAGTATTTGTATCTTTTGCCAGTTTCATATATTAGTCTCTTAGATAACTGCTTGTATTAGTCCATTTGCATGCTGCTGATAAAGACATGCCCAAGACTGGGTAATGTATGCAGGAAAAGCGGTTAAATTGGACTTACAGTAGCACATAGCTGGGAAAGCTGCACAATCATTGCAAAAGGCAAGGAGAAACACTTCACGTCTTACATGGATGGCAGCAGGCAAAAAGATAATGTGTAGGAAAACTTCCCTTTACAGTAATCATCAGATTTCATGAGACTTACTATCACAAGAACAGCACAGGAAAGACCTGCCCCCATGATTCAATTACCTCCCACCAGGTTCTTCCCACAACACGTGGGAATTCGAGATGAAGTTTGGGTGGTGACACAGCCAAACCATATCAATCCGCCCCTGGACCCTCCCAAATCTCATGTCCTCACATTTAAAAACCAATTATTCCTTCACAACAGTCCCCCAAAGTCTTAATTTATTTCAGCATTAACTCAAAAGTCCACAGTCCAAAGTCTCATCTGAGACAAGGCAAGTCCCTTCTGTCTATGAACCTTTAAAAAAGTCAAAAGCAACTTAGTTACTTCCTAGATACAATGGGGAAACAGGTATTGGATAAATACAGCCATTCCAAATGGAAGACATTGTCCAAAACTAAGAGGCTACAGGCCCTGTGCAAGTCCGAAATTCAGTAGGGCAGTCAAATCTTAAAGCTCCAAAATGATGTCCTTTGACTTCATGGCTCACATCCAGGTCACACAGGTATAAGATGTGGGTTTCTGTGGTCTTGGGCAGCTCTGTCCCTATGGCTTTGCAGAGTACAGCTCCCTTCTGGCTGTTTTCACAGGCTGGCATTGAGCGTCTGCAGCTTTTCCAGGCACACAGTGCAAGCTGTCGGTGGATCTACCATTCTGTGGCCTAAAAGACAGTGGTCCTCTTCTAACATCTCCACTAGGTGGTGCCCCATTAGGGACACAAGCTCTGGCCCTGTGACTTTGCAGGATACAGCCTCCCTCCTGGTTGCTTTCACAGGCTGTTGATGAGTATCTATAGCTTTCCCAGGTGCAAGTGAAAGCTGTCATTGGGTCTATCATTCTGGAGTCTGAAGGACGGTGGCCTTCTTCTCACAGCTAAACTAGGCAGTGGCCTAGTAGGGACTCCAACCCCACATCTCCCTTTTGCACTGCCCTACCAGAGGTCCTCCATGAGGGCCCCACCCCTGCAGCAAACTTTTGTCTGGGCATTCAGGTGTTTCCATAAATCTTCTAAAATCTAGGCAGAAGTTCCCAAAACTCAACTCTTCACTTCTGTGCACCAGCAGGCTCACCCATGGAAGCTGCCAAGGCTTGAGGCTTCCACCCTGTGAAGCAACAGCCCAAGCTGCACCTTGGCCCCTTTTAGTCATGCCTGGAGTGGCTGGGACGCAGGGCACCAAATTCCTAGACTGAGCACAGCATGGGAACCCTGGGCACTATGCACAAAACCATTTTTCCTCCTAAATCTCTGGGCCTGTGATGGAGAAGTGGCTGCAAAATCTCAGACATGCCCTGGAAATATTTTCCCCATTGTCTTGGTGATTAACATTCAGCTCATCATTAGTTATATAAATTTCTGCAGCCAGCTTGAATTTCTCCTCAGAAAATGGGATTTTCTTTACCATCACTTTGTCAGGCTGCAAATTTTCCAAACTTTTATTCTCTGTTTCTCTCTTGAAACTGAATGTCTTTAACAGCACCCAAGTTACCTCCTGAGTACTTTGCTCCTTAGAAATTTTTTTCTGTCAGATATCCTAAATTATCTCTCTCAAGTTCAAAGTTCCACAGATCTCTAGGGTAATGGTAAAATGCCACCAGTCTCCCTGCCAAAACATAACAACTCACCTTTGCTCCAGTTCCTAGTAAGTTCCATCTGAGACCACCTCAGCCTCGACCTTATTGTTTACTGCTATCAGCATTTTTGTTAAAGCCATTCAACAAGTCTCTAGGAAGTTCCAAATATTCCCATAGTTTCCTGTCTTCTTCTGAGCCCTCCAAACTGTCCTAACCTCTGCCCATTACCAAGTTGCAAAGTCGCATCCACATTTTTGGGTATTTTTTCAGCTACACCCCACTCTCCTGGTACCAATTTACTATATTAGTTCATTTTTATGCTACTGATAAAGACATGTCCAAGACTAGGTAATTTATACAGGAAAAAAGGATTTAATTGGACTTACAGGTCCATGTGGCTGGGGAATCCTCACAATCATGGTGGAAGGCAAGGTGGCATATACCACATCTTACATGGATGACAGCAGGCAAAAAGGGAATATGCAGGAAAATTCCCCCTTATAATAACCATCAGATTTCATGAGACTTACTACCACAAGAACAGCATGGGGAAGACCTGGCCCCATGATTCAATTGTCTCCCACTGTGTCCCTCCCACAATATATGAGAATTCAAGATGAGATTTGGATGGGGACACAGCCAAACTACACCACTGCTGATTATTATAATCCCGATTATACAGCAAAAGATTTAATCATTTTTGTTGTGTCATAACTTAATTTCTAAGTTTATTAGTGAACTTCAATAATTTACATTTTGAAAATAATCTAATAATACAGTTTTTTGTAGGTGTTTTTGTTTCTTATAAGGATCTCTAATAGATTCCTGGTGCCACTGTTTATAGGTAACATGGGCTCAATCCAGATATAGAACCATACATTGGATCCAAGAATCCCAGTTTTAAAAAAAAAATAAAATAAAAAAGAACAGGTTTGCCTAATGCACCATAAAATTTTCCTTTGCCCTTGCTTGCTTCACTGCTGACTAAAAAACCAGAGAATTCTTCTCCCTAGAAAATGAGTGAATAATCTTTCTCCAATCCCACACAACCAGCTACAGGACATGACTTGTCTATGAAACTTTTCAGATCTTGACAAACATTAGTAACTCCTTGCTCTAATATTCTTACAATCCCTGCTGTATCTTAAATAATTTATTAACTCTTCAAAACCCTTTCACACACTTTTGTCTTGTGGTGCTCCCAAAGAATCTCTGAAATAGATAGGGCATCTGTCATTTACAGATGAGGCCTGAAAAGTCTACACAACTGACTGGGTCACTAACAAGGGGCAGAGCTGGGATGCATATTTAGTGTGCCTGTACCCAGTCAGAATAGTATTATTATGATGGAAGGATATCATGCTTCAGCTTCAGATAGCACAAGTGTCAAATCCTAATTCAACGACTTAGCTGGTTACATACATTCATCAACTAGTTAACCCCCCACGAGCCTCAGCTAACTCATTTCTAAAACTGGGATAATAACAAATACCTCACAGGGTTCTTAGGAAGATTCAATTCATGCACTAATGGAGTACATGCCACATAGTAGACATTTCAGGAATATTTCTTTCCTAACCACTATTTTTCCTTTATCCACTCTCTTATGTTCATAAATCGGCTGTGTGACTGACTCTAGCAGACACTGTGGAATAATTTTTTAAAACCCAGAATACAGACTGGGGAATCTGATAGAACTAGGTTTGAATTCTCTCCAGCACTTATTAACTCTGGCCCTTAGGAATTCAGTTCCTTAACTTCCTCAACAGTAAATGAGGGCAATGGCTCCAACCTCACAAGGGTGATATAAGGATCAAATGAGAGAATGTATGCAAAATACCTACCACAAGTGTTCGGTAGTGTTTCAAGTTCAACCACAAGTTGAACAAGCAACCGAAAGTGTTTGGTCTTGGCAATTTCCTACCCTTCCTTCATTCCTTAGAAATTCTTGAAGTCAACATGCAAGTGCTACCTATTCACTACACTAGCTGCCTGCAGTGTGGAAATACTCCAGGGACTTGGTCAGTTTTGAGCTGTGTCTGCCAGTGTTACTAGTTAAACTTACAAAGTTTATGGCTAATTTCAGTATTCCCGTAAAATACAAAAGACCCAAAAGTATGATGCCCCTCAGGTGTGGACATGCCATAGATGTCTAAGGAGAGTGTCCCACCTGTGAATGTCGTGTCTTGTGCATTCCCAAAGCAGAGATTTTGCCAGGGCTCCAACATGGCACACAGCTTCACTCCTGCACTACAATGAGAAGAGTCTTTAACGTAAATTTCAGGGCCCTTTCATATGGCAGGTTTTTGTATTAGAGCAAAAGATGTCAAGCCAAAGAGCCCCTCAACTCACAGCTGATGATGTAGCATAAGAAGGCACAAGAGGGATGCATAAAAAACCCAGCATGTACTCAACAGTTCTCGCTTTCCACAAGCCTCATGCGTCTCTCTTTTATGGTTGTGCTTTATACTTTAGCCCCATCATCTCCATGGGTCTTGTCCATATCACTCGCTATCTCTGTTATGTTTGAGAGAAATTCAGGGGAAAAAATCTAAAGAAAACTACCCACCATGAAACGTAGGAAACAAAAACAGTTTAAAGTTAAGATGCCCACAAAGGAAGAGAAGCTGCAATAATAACAATGTAAAACAGCCCCAGAACCTGAAAAGCCACACTGATCGGCATCAGCAGAGCCCCAGCAGCTTTGTGCAGAATTTGATTAATCGCGTTTATTCGGTTTAGGTTTTGCAAAGCTTGAACCCTGTGGTTTCCTCAATCTTCTTAAGTCCCACTCCAAATATATGTGTTTTGGTTTTTGTTTTTTAAATGATTAGGTATTCCAGCCTCCTTTTTTTCCTAGCATCTTTTGCAACACAATAAGGTTCTGAGTCCAAATGTCCAGCCATCGTCCCTTGCACTGGTGAGCACCTGAGCTTGCACCACAGATAGAGAAGGTTCTAAAAGGGTACCATACCTCTGTGAGGAGACCACATGACAAGTGAAATCTTTCTGAATCTAGAGTAGATCTCTAAATTTAAAAGAAGAACATTACAGGACTTCAGTGTAGCCTGGGTATTTCACAAGCCTGGTGTTTGGACTTTTGTTGGTTCCACAAACAGCTCTTAGGGAAGACAGTTCTGGCAGTTAGGGCTGCCTAGCAAGTCTAGGAAGAACATGAGTGAACTACGTAGGTGAGGACCAAAGGAGGCAAGACACCATTGTTGACACAAGGACATCCTCTGCTTTCAGAATGGTTGGTGCCCACAAAGTACTTGGGCTATCTCTGAGACAATGGGATGCTGCTGTCTTTATCTGTTCCTGTCTTCCCTAGCTCTTTCCCCATTCCATCCCCCTTCCCAACTCTGGTTTTGTTTTTTGTTTTTTTTTAATGTGTGTGTTTGGTTGGGGGCAGGAGGTGCAGTTCTAGAGGAATGTATCTTCCATAGCAAATGTCAGCTCCACTGCAAAGGCCAGAGTAGTTTCCAGTTTGATTTTATTCTATTCCTAAATTAATATTTTAGGCATACTCTCAGCAGCCCAGGAAATTATTCTCTCCCTACAGACTGTTAGGATCTCTTTCTTCAAGGCATCTCTGAACATTTAAAGACAAACAGTTTTAAAAAATCAGAGAACAGTGGATTGGCATGCAGTTAGCATTTCCGAGGTATGAGTAAAATTTAAAACCTACTGTTCAAATAAATAACTGGTCTGTGGCCACAAAACAAAAACAAGTTAACTCATTAAAATTGACCTCAGGATCTAAGAAAATGTACTCTATCCTTCCCTCATTCAGACAGTCTTGTTCTCTTCTATTTTCATGATGAATTTTCCCTAGAGCATTTCTTCTCTTCCCCATCTTTGCATTTCTTCTCTTCCCCATTTCTTCCTCTGTTCTTTATTTCTTCTTACTTCTACAGCTCTGCCTTCTTTTTCATTCTGAGTGTCTTTCCGCTCTTCCTCACTAACTTCTTTTCCTTTGACAAACCTTAATATGAATTAGATTATATCTTAAGAATATATGAATAAGTTTTTATATACCCTATACTGAATGTTTAAACCAAATGAGCTGAAAGGTTTTTCATTTTCTCTGTGCTAATTACACATTAATTAGTTTAAGCATTAGATTGTTGAAAAGACTTCAGGACTCAGACAGATTATACTGATGAAACAGCTTTAATATAAGCAAGACAGCACATCACAGCAAAAACAGGAGAAAGATATGCATTGGAAGGGTCCAAAGATCTCAGGCTCACACTTCTTTGTCCTTCTACGTGCTGGGTCACACAGAACAAGTTTTGTATTCATACTGGTGGTTCATACTGGTCATAGCACCAGTATATGTGCTATGACCTCAGTCCAAGGAAGATTAAGCTCTGCTTCTGGCAGGATATCTGCAAGTGAGCTGGTCACATAGGCATATTCCAGCTACCTAACCACCCTCAGCCCATCAAAATCTTCAGCTCCACCAAAACTGAGTGCTAGGCAAAAATCTGATTATTTTGTTAAACAATGCTGACTGCCTGGTATATTCTGCCCTGAAACGACTCAGAGTTTTACTTCGGTAAAAGCCTTTATCTTCAGTACATTTTAGAGTTTCGGCCAAGGGTTAGCACAGCTCTAGGAACCATGTAGATAAGCATTTGGTCAATTCAGACCTGCTCAGATTAATTCATACTGTGCACTATTTCACATAAAAGCAAAATGTCACTAACCTACTTTGCTTTACATTTGAGTTGAAACTAAAATGGCTCTTTTCTACAACTCTGCAGTCAATGTTTGCAGAATTGATGCTCCAAGCCCAATTTAAACAAAATGGAAGGGATGTACTGCTGCAGGCAGCTCTTTATCCTGCTGGCATGCCTCCTTCTCAGCCCTCACCTTCCACTTCATCTCCAGGATGGCCCTTTCCACCTCCTCCAGAGCTCGCTCCCTTCTTTCCACAGCCCTCTCCCGCCACTCTACTGCCCTTTCCCTCCTAAGCACCTCCTTTTCCCTTTGGCTGGCCCACAAAGCCATGGCACCCACCTGCTCCAGGAGCCTGCCCCAGTCACCTTCAACACCTGTGGGGAGCTGGGGCCTGTGGGGCCTTGGATCTGGGCGCTGACCAGTCTGACCATGGCCGCACTTCTCCAGCTCCTCCTTGTGCATGCTTTTCAGATGCTTCCACAGGGCTGTGGTGCCCACATTAACCCCAGGGCCACGGCTCACCTGCCTGCCACACAGGCGGCAGGTGGCATATTGGTTGGGATGGTGCCCAGCACGAGCAGGAGCCAGGTGGAAATACTCCCATGCCTCAGAGAACCGGGTCCCCTTGTTGTGGGGCATTGGAGTGGGCATCGCACTCACAAAAGGGCCAACCACTTCTCCTGTCTCACTAATCTCTTCCTCCTCCTTCATCTCTAAGTCTCCTTTTGCCTTCATCATGGTTCCCTCCTCTTCCTCCTCTTCCCGCCTCATCATGTCTTTTCTTCTACAGTGTTCTTTATGATAGGCCTAGATGTGAGCCAAAAGTTTATCTGAACCACAAGATTAAATGTATATTTGAGAAGGAACTATGGTAACGCTTGGGGATTCACAATAATGGTCAAAGTCTGGCCACACCTGGGTGGTATGATGTTTCTTTCTTTCTGCTTCACTGGAGAGTCAGGAGTGAGTCAGATACAAGCAAAACGGCCTAAGAGTGCATTCCTTCCATGCCCCAGATACTTACTTATCTTCCCTTGACTAGGCCAGAAAGACAAAACATATCAGTTCCTGTAGCAAAGGTATTTTCTGGTCAAAACTTACAAAGCTCTCTGATGAACTCAGTGTTCTCTGCATCAACCACAACAGGTATTTTTGAATATTGAAAATTTTAGGTTTTCTTGTTTCTCCTTTTGGTTGTTTTCACTGTTTCTGTGCCTCTTATTTTCTATAAACGCATTTTGGAGACAGGAGAAACAGCCTCAGGGTTCAGGGTTTTCAGGACCAACAGGGCTGGGGCCTCACTGGGTCTTATTCAGAGTAGGTAAAAGCAAACACAGGCAGATGCTGATACAGAAGACAATCTTGCTTCCTAAGAATTGTTGCAACAAGCAATCCAGAGTAGACAAAGCCTATGAGGATCTGGATAAGAAAGTTCCCAATTCAAGGTCAGCTTGTCCTTAGAGGCGTCTCTCGGGGGCCAGGAGTCTAAGATATCCAAACGGCAAGCTCAGCTCTTTCAGCAGAAGGAGCTGGAATGCTCAGAGGAGAAGGTGGAGCACATCTTCACAGACATGGTGTTGCCTGGCTGTCCTTAGCAAGCAGCTCACCATACTCCACCTTCTCCAGCAGGATCACCTGCAAAGCCAACAGCCAATAAGACCTTCCTGAAGCACGTTACTCCAGAGGTTTTGCTCTTTATCTCATTTTAAAGATAAATACGTAAATGGAAAATCATATTGCATTTTTTCAAAGGCTGACCTCTCTCCTTTCTTGAGTCATTTCTTAAATGAATGAGAGCATTATATAATCAAACTTTGCAATCCTAAACAGTTAGGAAACTTCCCCCTAGCCATAAGTGGGTACTTACAAGCAGGCAAGGCTCTGGACTTCTCTGATCTTTCCTGTGCAGAGTGAATGCACTCCTGCACACCTTGGATGGCTATTAGCTGACTCCTACCCAGAAAAGGAGGGCACCTCCAGTTCTGGTTTCCTCCCACTGCTAGGGAAGCAGTTTCCAAGTAGGTGTGTCTGTGCCTGTCAGGTTTTTCTGCAACACTTAGACACGGATGCAAACCTTTTCTCCACCCCTTCCACCACCAAGAAGAGGATACTCCTGGCATATGTCATGCAGCAAAACAATAAGTCAAGCACCTACAAGTCTTAGTTCTCTTTTCTGATGACTAGATTATCTAGCCTCCCAAATAAAAAAAGAGATTTAAAGGGGGAAGAATGGGAAATAAATGGAAAATAAATAACTGGTCTGTGGCCACAAAACAAAAACAAGTTAACTCATTAAAATTGACCCCTGGACCTAAGAAAATGTACTCTATCCTTCCCTCATTCAGACAGTCTTGTTCTCTTCTATTTTCATGATGAATTTTCCCTAGAGCACTGTCTCTCTTCCTCATCTTTGCATTTATTCTCCTCCCCATCTTTGCATTTCTTCTCTACCCCATTTCTTTCTAAATTTCCTTCCTCTGTTCTTTATTTCTTCTTACTTCTTCTATAGCTCTGTCTTCTTTATCATTCTGAGTTTCTTTCAGCTCTTCCTCACTAACTTCTTTTCCTTTGACAAACCTTAATATGAATTAGATTATATTTTAAGAATTTATGAATGTTATTATATACCCTATGCTGAATGTTTAGGAAAATGTATACATACAGTATAAGATACATATATTACATATATATACTGTATGTGTATGTATGTGTATGTATATATACACATACATATATATATTATATATATACTGTATGTTATATATAATATACATAATATATGTGTATGTGTATACATATTTAGGTTGAGAAGGAAAACCTACCAAGAGGAGATAGGAGGACTCTAAAGAAGGTGTCAGTAGAAGAAAAAAAACTTACTGTTGTGAAAAAAAAAAAAAAAAAAGATAGAAATGGCATAGCAGACCAGCCACAGTGGCTCATGCCTATAATCCCAACACTGTGGGAGGCTGAGGCAGATAGATTGTTTGAGGTTAAGAGTTTGTGGCCAGCTGGCCAACATGGCGAGACCCTATCTCTTCTAAAACTACAAAAATTATCCAGGTGTGCTGATGCACACTTGTAATCCCAGCTACTCAAGACGCTAAGACAAAAGAATCGTTTGAACACGAGAGGCAGAAGTTGCAGTGAGCTGAGATCATGCCACTGCACTCCAGCCTGAGCAACAGAGAGAGACTCAGTCAAAAAAAAAAAAGAAAGAAAGAAAGAAAAAAGAAAAAGAAATGCATAGCAGAAAACATGTAGAGGTTGACAGTTAAATTAAAATGAAAGAAAAAAATATAGGGGAAAGATTCAAAATAGGAGCGAGACTAGGAGGAGTTTAGAACATGAATCACATTTCTAAACCAAATTTTGGAACACAAAGTATAGAGATAGTATAGAATATTTGAATCATTTCAGAAAATCTTAACTTAGAGAATTCATGAAAGTCAAATCTTTTCAACATTTTTAGAGGTTAACATGAGTGTTCTTCTCTGAGCCAGCTACCTTTGTAAAATAACAACACTCTCGCTTACTCCTAATATTACCATATTGTCAGCTTTTGGTCAGTTAACTAAAGATAAAAGAAATGAATCATGAGAATGGTTAATGTCACTGGATTAATGCAAACCTTGGTATCTTTTTCTTTTTCTTTCTTTCCTTTTTTTTTTTTTTT